GAGAGAGATGTTGAAAGGATCAGGGCTTACGCTGGATGGAAACACGACAGTATTTCCCATCTGATTCTTTCCTTGTGCTAGATATATTTTTTTCTTTTATCTTTTTATTGGACGGCCTGGGCTTGATAGAGTACGATGAGTCAATAGCTTTCTTTTTGTTTCCACTGCTACCTTCCAGTATGATCTTTCAGATGTCCTTTCAGCATCTCAGGAAGATTTCAGAGCTTTCTTGTCATGTTTGAGTATTAAAATAAAAATGTTCATGAATTATAGAGTCTGAATGCATCTAGATCAAAAGTTCACTGTCATCCATTTGCATCAGGGCTTCTCCCTGGCCTTGGTTCAGGCCCCAATCTGAAGTTCAGGGACCAGCAGTAAGAAAGGAGCTGCAGGATGCTCTTCCACTGCCCTGCTCCGTTCCCCACCTCCCCCCTAACTTCTGCTGCCCTAGAGCCTGGGAAAGGAGGGTTTCTAGGAGAATAAGGCAATGGACATTGTTTCCTTTTTAAAGAAACAGCTAATTTTGTTTGTAATTCTCTCTTGGTTCTCAAATGTTCTTTGTTATGGCAAGAATCCAATTACTAGCTCTTGTGTGGGCTATTTTATGGGTTCTTCAGAGAACCCTATAGAAAACCACATTATTCCAGGATACGGCTTTCTGGCTGACTTCTTACAGCCCCTCTCAGCTCCTGCTCTAGTCACTCACCCTTTCCAGCGATGCTCAGGGACAGTGCCACCCAGACTGCCTTCCCCAGCATCCATTTGGGCTATGGAAAGCTCACTGTCCTTGCCCCAGTAAGAGGCAGAAGTCAGGTGCTGCCACTCTGCCCCTCTCAGCCTGCTCCCCCGCAGGCTGCTCCAGTTGTGGTCAGACACCCTTCTCTGTGCCTCCAGAGCGCAGGGCTTTCTGCAGCTCAGCAGGGGTGGGATGGGTGTGTTTCAGATACAGGTCTTCCCTGCTGGGAACAGCTCCACCTCTGAGTAGTTCTCTTGAGGTCCATCTCTACCCCGTTGCTCACAGAGAAGGGTAGAGACATCACAGTGCTCCCAACTGTTATGAATTCCCTTCCAGGAATCCTTCTTCATGAAGGTGCTTCCCTTTTTTTGTTTGTTTGTTTTTGTTTTTGTTTTTGGAGGAGGTACTGGGGATTGAACATGGGACCTGGTGCATGTTAAGCATGCGCTCTACCACTTTAGCTATACCTGCCCCCCTCCCCCGCCTCCAACCCGGGGTTCTCTTATGTAGGCTGTTGGGTATGAAGGCCAACCAGTTTGGTCAGTTCTTACTAACAATGTGGTGAGCCCTTGTCTTTAGAATACAGGCATATATCACCCATGGGACTTGGTTCTGAGGCTCTGGTCAGAATTCTGGATGACAAAACAGTCTATACACATCCTGTAAATGTGGATGAGGTAGCAAGAACAACTGGCTTAAAAAAATAAATCCATCAATTAGTAGAATGGAACATCTCTCAGCTCCTTATTAGAGATCAGTGACTGCGAACATTTTCCTAACTCTGAATTTTGTATTGTCCGGCTCCTGGCGGCTAAGACACATCTCCTGTCTAGAAGCCCAGGAAACCATTTCTGACTTCTCTCCCATCCCCAAATGTGTCTAACCCATGGGACTTTTCCCTCAGAAACTGTCTCAGAGGTTCAGAAGGATAACAGATGAGTATTTTAATAGGGACTTTCTGGAGTGCTTTCTCTGCTGATCGTGAAATGCTCCGATCCAAAGGAAGGCTGGTGGAGAAGACAGTAGCACTGAACGCATCAAATTGTAACTGCATCAAATCTGGCGAGTCGCTGAGTTCTTTTCTTTCAATGCCTTGCACATAATAAAAGCTTTTGACTTGAAACACTGATTGATTGATGTCCCTTTTTGTTTCTAATACATATGACAACACATTTCCCCATGTGTAACCACAACAAAGAGATGCTTTTAATGTTGAAATAATTTGCCACAAATGTATGAGAAAAAGCTGTGTTGAAGCTAAGATTTAATTACTTCTATTTTTATGTCTCATTATTTTCTGTACAAAACAGGTAGATAAAAGCAGTGGTAGTTTTAGGTAAAAAGCATCTTCTTTCTCGGACTCTTTCTCTAAAAGTGGATTCTGGCCAGAATGCATGTGACATTCCCTTCTGGGGATGACATGCTGTTGGCTAACTGAGAATCAATCAGCAGTCCCTGCCTAACTTCTTTTTTTTCTTGATGCCTTTGTGTCCTTTATCAGGACAGTTGGGAAGACAGGCTATTTTCTCTTAAACCCTTACTTTGTGTTCGTTTCTTTGCAGAGAAAGCCAGAATCACAGCACCTGCACATGTGGGATTAGGATGCGGGCTGCAAGCCACCAGCAGGAGCAGGTGAGCCACCTGACCACAGAGACCCTGTTTAGACCTCAACAAAAGCACAGAGCACACGATTTTTCTTGCAGGTCTTTGGTTTTTCCTTCCGCTTCGCTGCTAGTTTTCCCTTTGGTCTGGTGGATTGTCTTGGCAACCCATTCCCAGGAAGCAGCAGGATGGGGTGACAAAAGGCTGTTACGACGTCAAAACCCCAGATTCAAGTCCTGGCCAGTTAATCATTCACTGAAGTCATGTTGCTTAACTTCTTAATTTCCTCATTAGCAAAACAAATAATATCTGTCCTCCCAATCTCAAAAAAAAAAATTAAAAAAGCCCTCAAGATACATTAAATAAAACACACAAGTGATGTGAAAGCATGCTGTAATCTTGTAAACCCCACACAACTGTGCGGTGGGGAAAAGGTGTTAGGGAAGGGCGAGCAGGCTGCGGCTGCAGGCGGCTGGGGGCTGAGCGCCTGTTCTGGCCGCATGCTTGGCTTCCCGTGGTCCTGAGCACAGAGCCAACAGTCTCCAGGCCCTAAGAGCCCTACACGTCCTGTAAGACCTGGCTCCTTCCTACTTTACCAGCCTCGCCTTATGCTTTTGTCTCTCTCCATCTAGAACTGCTGGCCAGCCCTTAGCTTTTTCAGCCAGTCATCATTTCCCTAGGGTACCCACTCATTTCACCTGACTAGGTTAAATTCCTCCAATTGCATGATATGTACCTTTCAAATTTGTCAAGTTCGTCACGGTTACAATTTGCATTCATGTAAGTGATTTCTCATTAATATTTGTCTCCTCTATTCGCCTATACCCCTATAGGAGGGGTAGGGATAAATTTTGTCTTATCATTTTATTCCTGGTTGCTAGCACAATGCCTGGCACATTGTAGATACTCAATAAATATTTGTTAAATGAGTGAATAAACGGTCGGATGGGTGAATGATGAAACGGGTCTTTCTTGTAAATCCTAGGGAATCCCAGGATAACTCTTGGATATTTGAGCCTCACCCCTGATTGAAAAGTGGCCTAAGGATATTTGAAACTAAAGGGCTGTTGATCCAATCAGCACTGGAACCAGAGAAGGCCAGAATCCAAATTTGATGCAAACTGTCTTCTTATACTCAGAAATGTACATACCTAAGAGTCATTTGGATTTGTGTATGTCAAGTGGACATCCCCCAAAAGTCACTCATAAAAAGGAAAGGAGCTTTCTGGAGAAACTAAGGCTCCTAGAGGACCCTCTTCTGGGTGAGAAGGTAAGTAAGGTGCTGAAGACGAGGCTGCACCTGGGCAGACTCATTGCCTCAGAAAAAAATGGGAACTGGTTGGGGCTCTGCTGGCAAACCTGTATATTCTTGTGTTGGTGCGTGCACCTTCTTGCTTGAGTGGCGGCTGTCTCGAGATGCCAGGGCCATGCCAGGGCTGTTTAATTGAGAACCAGAGACATCTCAGCACAAGCCACATAGCCTCAGGGCGAAGGGCAAGACCAACGTGAAGGAGATGGGGCTCCTCAGTCCTGCAAGCAATCCAGGTGCCTCTGAACTTGGCAAAGGGACCATCACCCTTAGTTGTGCTCCTGTGGGAATTGTCAACGGGGTTGGGGTCGATGGTGATTCTTTTTCAACCGATTAAGGGAGTGGGGAACAAATGGTAGTGAGAGGAACAGGGTGGATATGCAGGGTAATTTCAGCTGATGGGCAGCTTTATGACCAAGACTGAGGCTTCTTCTGGAAGACTGGCAGAAGTGCTGGAGGAAGACGGTGGGGTGGGGTGGTCAGGCAGGGGGGACAAGCAAAGGAACTTGGGTCACTGTTGTGAAAGGGACTTCATTTGTACCATGGCCTGGGTAGGTCTTCTGACATTTGGGTTAAAATTTGAGAAATTTATAATGTGATTTTGCATATAGTAAAAGACATATGCTTACCAGCTCTGAGGAGCTGATAATTCTCTCCACATATATGCCCCTTTGGGCAGTCCTTGCGCCCAGTCATGCCAGGGATCTTCCTAGATTCAGTGCTGAAAATGCCCAGTTCTGGGCAAACCAGGAGAATTGGTCACCCTAACACCCACTCACACTGACTGTTTACCATGACGTTGGGAAGACAGTGCAGACCATACATAGCCTCACGACATAGCAGAAACAAGAGTATGACTTCCCTTTGGAGTACTAGAAATCTACAAAACAGCAAAGATACATTGTGAAGCACCCTTTCAAATCGTGCACCCGAGGCTGGAAATAAACACAAGGTTTCCTGTCCTGAGGTGCTGTTCCAGGCCCATAATTCACTTTCACTTGCCAAGGCATATTCTTTAGCTTTTCTATCTGGATTCACAGAAGACTAGATTTTCTAGGATGGATGCCACTTTGTAATCCATTTTCCTTAGTAATAAAAGAATCAAGCATATAATTCATGTTATGAGTTTAAAAGCATTTTATACAAATGCAATCTAAATCAGATCAACATGTTTTTAGACACATGTGCCTAGATTTTTCATTCTGAAATTAGGGTTAGAATATTACCAAGATAGTCAAATGAGACAGGAACTATCCCCTGCAAAATGAGGCAAACAAATATAGAGTGATGAAGGCTAAGGAAGAGAAAAAATTGTACTGACATTTTCCAGAGACTCCTTGGCAGACGCTAGTCCTAGATGACCAGGCTCCTAGGTCTTGGCATTAGATAGAACGAGCTGTCAGACTCCCCCGCTGGAGCACAGGATGGTGGGGCTGTAGGAACAGCCATCCGTGGAGAAGGCACATCTTCTTTCCCCAGGCAAGACGAGAAGATGAGAAGTGACCCGCCAAGGGCCAGGAAAATTCCAGCAGCCCAGCCCAGGTAGAGGGCATCTCCAAACTCCCACCGAGGCACAATCTCAGGGACGCTGTCATCCCAGAAGTCTTGGATGGTGGCGTAGGCCACCCAGGAGACTGGAAAGAGGGTAGTTGCCGAAGCTGACGCCTCCAAAGTTCCTCCCAGGAGACAAAGCCGCATCTTAAATACCCATCTGATCCCATGAAACTGGGAGCATTCAGCCCCAAAGCCAGAGAGCAGAAGCCCCAGTAGTCCCAGCCCATGGGAGGCGACCATGAGGATGCGGGATGCCTGGAGCTCCCTGGGCAGAGACAAGAAGGACTCAAAGGCCTTGCACACAGTGGCAACTTCCTCCTGATTCACGCAGACCTCCCAAAGCCCCATGATCCAGGTCTCCATTTCGTTCAGTTCCAGATTGAGAGTCTTCCACTGGGGCAGGACGGTGGTGACACACGAGCAGACCCAGCCCAGGAGAGAGAGGAGCAGTCCCCCGAGCTGGGCTTTCCCACGGGAACTCCAGGCCATGGTGGCTCCTGCCACAAAATAGAGGCAGGAAGAAAAGGAGGACAGGCGGCTTGGTGACTGGCTGGCAGCGAGGATTTTGGGGAGGTTGAGTGGAAGGTCTCTCGCATTTGGAGAGGGTTCCTGTTTCAGTTTTCTAGGCAGCAGCTGAAGCAGGTGCCAGGAACTTGGCAATGTTTGGGTTTAGGGGGTGTGTCCAAGATTGGCTGGGGGAGTGGATTCTTGGGGAGGGTCCATGAGAGGCAAAAAAGTGAGACAGCAAGCCATCAAGATATAGTTGATGAATAAATTCATAAACTTAAGAGTTAGGGTCACTCCCCACTTCCAAGAAGACAAGAATGATGTTCTGGGGCTATACCTTGATATAATATTTCTAAAGGGCAACATGACTTCACATTTTATACTTTCAAATATATGCATATTTTGACCCAGCATCCTGCCTCCAAGAACTTACCTTCATTTACTGTGAATATATACAAAGGTTTATGAAAATATTTATTGAACTAGTATTAATAATTGTACATTGCTATGTACAATTTAGGCAGCCATTTTTAATTGAACTTTTAATGATATGAAAAATGTTTTTGACATATTGTTAAGTGAGAAAAGCAGTGAGCAAACAATATATGGATTATATAGAATGCAATTTCACTTTCACAAAAAACTGCATATATCTGTATATATGTATGTAAGTATGTATCCATATATCATATACCATAAAACATTAACCATGGTTATTGTAGTGGAAGGATTATGGATAGTTTTTATTTTATTGTTTCTACTTGTCTATGTATTTTATACATTTATAAATTCATAATTTAGTATTTTTGCAAGCAGAAAAAAAAATCCCCCAATCCAAGGAACCTATCCAGACCCAGAATATACCCGGAAGCCTGTCCTCCTCAGCCTCCCGCTGCTGTTAGGAAAGCAGCTATAAATAGATGGTAGTCATACCAGCTTCCATTCCTATCTGTTGCTGCTGCCAGGAGGCAGGTTCCGACAAGAAAATAAATCATTTGCATTAACTGAGTGCAGCTAAATACCAGACTTTTGACTAGATTCTGTATCCTTCTTTATTTTTCACACCACCGATGGGAGATACATGTTAGGTAACTTGCCAAGAGCCCCCAGCTGGTAAGCAACAGATCCAACTCCTGAGCCAGGAGGCTCGCCGGTGACATTTCATATTCTTGTCTCCAGGCCACAACAGAGATTCCACCTGCCCTGCGCCTATGCACTGATGACATGGCACATAGATGAGGGTTAATCTTCATGGCAAAACACAGAAGAAAATTGGGATTTCTTATATTGAAAACATAAATGTTGACTAACGTATTCCCCTATTCATATTTTAACCTACTGATTGCCCTGTGTACACTATGAAGTGAAAGAAGGGTGTGGAATATTCAGCAAAGAGGAAGCATCTGAGAAAGCAGTATCTTGACTTTACCTGAAAGATGCCTCAACACTTAAGAAGCCTGATTAGATTATCAGTCTTGTAGGGGTGAAGGGAGGTGAGCAGAATCTTCTGGCATGTCCTTTTAAAAAATGTTTTATTACAGAAAATTTCAAATGTATACAAAAGTAGAGCAAATGGTATAAGGAAATCGCATGCACTGTCACCCAGCGTCAAAAATTATCCACTTACACCAACCTTGTTTCATCCATACCTGTACCCACTGCTCCCCATCCCTCCCTTCACACTATCTTGAAGCAAATGGGATGCTCCTTTAAATCGTAGGCTCCTTCTGCTGCTTTTATAACAATCGCATGTTCTAACCAACACAATGGTGAAATATTAGTCATCCCTGGAAACACTGTCTGCTTGTACTACATCCCTTTTGATTTGTGTTTGATACTTGGCTTCCTGAATACTGGCATGCCGCAGGTGTGTAAGCCATGAAAGGTCAGACGCTGCTCCTTGATTATTTGGCTCCTCTTTGGAGCTCTTTCTTGATGATTTGTGAAAATCTGTGAGTTGGGAGATACACACATCAGGATAAAGTGTGAACTATGAGGGAGATCAGGTTAGTGAGGGAAACCGGAACCCATTCATTTGGTAATTCCTCTTTATTTATTCAAGTGTTCATTCATGCCTGTGTGTACTGACTGTGTGTAGCAATCTCACTCCATCCCCTAGAAGAACATTCTTCTCCTTCCTCAGGCTGACTCTGGCTCTTCCCTCTTTCTCTGGAAACTTGAGGAACAATCTTTAGCTTCTCCAGTGCACAGGGAGAGGTGGAGCTTCCACAGCTGTGTTTGCGCGTATGAATGGATTGGTTTCCTGGAGGAAGATTCCAGAACTTCAACCTGGCATCTTCCTTCCATTCTTAGGTCAGATTCCTTCTTACTGTGAAACCTCCCTGATTCAATCAGAGACTGGGTGCTCCTCCTCCAATATTTTCTCTGCATTTTGTCTCTTCCTCAGAGGTGGATTAAGCTTCAGGGACTTTTCCTTGCACAGGCTCCTTCCAAGGCCTGTATCTAATTTTGTATTTGTTATTTTATATTCTTTTCCTTAAAGATTCCACCCTCACCTGGTAACTGTATAAGATTTAGGCCCCACAAAATCTGTATCAGTCCCTTATTTACCTCCAAAATAGTAATGATCATATTTTCCTGAGATTATTTATTTGAGTATTTTGGATTCTTAACCTAGCACAGTATCTGTCATATAGTAGTTGCTCAGTAAATGTGTGATACAAGTTTTCAGGAATTTCATCTGCAGGTCCTTCTTTCTCACTGGGCATTTATTATCAGTAGCATTTAGAACTCAAAGTGAAACTGACAGGTCTACCAAACAAGTTGGTTTGGTTTTCTAGGGAGAGGTACTTCCCAAGATATTATGACTTCCTGTCTCAACTCCAGCTTCATTTCCTTTGTTCATGTCACAGGAAGCTGCCCTGGCCTCACTAGGATAAGCAGATTGTCCCATAGGCACTTAACATCAGCAAGGACCTTAGGGTCAGCATCTACTTGGGGTCAACCCTTGCAAGAGACCTTTAAAAAAGTTAAAAATAACATTTTAATCAAAGCAGTACATGTTTATTGCAGAAAAACAGAAAAATAAATAGGGAAAGAGAAGGGGAACCCCCCCCCAACAAATTCATCACTCAGAAAGATGTATATCCTTCATCTCAATATATGTATTTATTTATCTCTTAAATATTGTGAACACGTAACACATTAAAAATTTAAAAAAGGTTTTGATAAAATTGACTTGTAATCTCTGATAGAAAGTGCTAAGTATCTTGTTCTAGTCCACACTGTACTAATGTTATTTATACTTGGGTAATATGAATAGTATTACATAGATGTAGTACGTACACACACACACACACAAATGTAATATAAACCATGCAATATAAAAGGAGTGCAATTATGGGCAGATTTTTGTTTAAAAATGAGGTGAAGCCATTTCCTTGCACAACTTCAGAGAGCACCATTCGTACAGACTGACGGCCACTGCGGCCCCTGAGAAGGAATATTTAACGAAAAAAACATCAAGATGGGCTCGTTGGGTTTTCTGGCTAGATAAATTTCACAGGTAAGCGTTTTGAAGTTGAGAAAGGGTTATTAAATAAAAACATTTCTTCCAGGGAAAAACAGGCGGGAAAGGAAAAGCTACTTGAAAACGGAGACAGGAAAACGCGTCTCTGCACAGTTTGCCAACTACCGGACACCGTGGAAATTCCACGCTAGGACAGCCGCGGAGCCTGCTGGGAGTTGTAGTTCGGCGCTCGCCTCCCGCGCGGCAGTTTGGGCCCCGCGAGACTTCGTTTCCCGGCAGGCCGCGCGCCAAGGCCGCCGGCGGGACTGGAGCTGCCGCGCTGGCTACGGGAGAGTGACCCTGTCAGCGTTGGTTCCAGTGGTGGCGATGGCCTCGTTCGTGACAGAAGTTCTGGCACACTCGGGGAGGCTGGAGAAGGAGGATCTGGGCACTCGGATCAGCCGCCTGACCCGGCGGGTGGAGGAGATCAAGGTGAAGGCGGGGCAGCCGGTGGCTGACTACAAAGGGACGGGAGAGGAGTGGGGCCAACGGCAGCCAGAGTGGGTGCGAGGAGTCGGGTGTGGGAGCTGAGGGGGAAGAATGAGGAGTGGGAGGTCTGTGGGCTGAGGAGGGCGCTTAGAGGGGAGCCCAGACTGAAGTGGGAGACTGAGGAGGCGAGGGGGCTGGTGCGGTGTTGGGGAGTGGGGTTAGGTAGGGGAAGGATGGGGACGAGGAGGAGGGCCGAGGAGACGAGCAGAGCAGGGAAGGTGGGACTGGAAGGCCGAGGTGTCTAGGGAGGCAGCATAGGAGAGGGTAGAAATGAGGGCAGGCTCCCCCCACCCCTCGTCGGCGTGTATTTATCTCCTCCACCTACTCCCTTGTACGATTTGTGGATGAATATAATAGCTTTGGGAGGATTACACCAATCTCCTTCCTAGAAATTTTTTTTTTGTATCGATATTTTCTTAAAGTTTCTCCACCCTAGGCCCTTGAGGCTATGCTGAGTGTTACAAAACACGTAAATAGCGCTTCTTTGGACCCTCCTATCTTGAGATTGATACAAAAACAAAAGGCACATAGCCACAAGAAGTTTCACTTTGTTCTACCATCATCAGGCTGCTATTATTTGCCCTTGTCTTTGTTGCATTCATTTAAAGTGATGTTTACCTGTATAGGTCTGGATTTAAGGGAGCAAGTCTGGTACTGTACCATAAAAGCACAAAAATAGTTCTCTTTACCAAAATGATTTCCTAAATGTTAAGTATTGACGTCACTGGCATCTCTTTAATACGGCTTTAGGATTTTTCATTACTTTTTATATAAAGACGGAAAGAAGACAATCAAGCTACTTGAGCATGGCACCCAAGGCTCTTCCCTGTTCTGGACCAAACTTTGCTTTCACTAGTTGATTTTGCCAACTTGAATCTTCAGCCAGTTGAGAATTACTTTCTGTACTCCAAGCACAACTCCAGTTGTGTTCCTGGAGGACACTAACTTTGTTGTCGTATTACAT